GTGACCAATGGTATGTGAGCATTCAGCCCCATGTCCCGCCCCATGTCCCGCCCCTTTCCTCCCCTTGACCAATCAGATTCCCCCAGTACATGGTGCAGTGACAGTGGTCAAACCTGGCTCTTGTTCATATCTGATCTCCTCCTATGATCCAAATGTGTTTGATGTGTTCTGAACATCCATGGTTCTCAATATGAAGCTCTGTGCCCTCTGCAAATGCTAATGCAGTTTTAGACCTGGTTCAGTCCTGGTTCAGTCCTGGTTTAGTCCTAGCTGAGGTTTTTAAGTCCTGCTTTAGCCTTCATTTAGACCTAGTTTAGTTCTGGCTTAGGCCCAGTTTGTTCCCTGGTTTAGTTGCTGGTTCGGTCCTGGTTGAGTCCTAATTTAGTCTTTCTTAAACTCCTGGTTTAGTCCTGTTTAGCCCTTTTAGTCCCTGATTTAGATGCTGGTTTTAGTCCCTGGTCCAAGTGCTTTGTTTAAGTCCTGGTTTACTCCCTAGTTCAGTCCCACTTTAGACTTCAGTCTAGGTTCAGTTCTAGTGCAGTCCAGGTTTAGTCCCAATTTAGTCCTGGTTATGTTCCTTGTTTAGTTTTGGTTTTAGTCTCTGGTTTAGACTCTGGTTTAGTCCTGGTTTAGTCCAAAACTCCAGCACAGAGTTAGCTCTATGCCTGTATATTCTGTATCATGGGGGCAGTGAGCAGAGGGCAGAAAGGCTTCATATTATTTTGCTGATAACATCTTTTTGAGTGTTCCTCATGTTTGTTTGACCTGTGTGTTACAGGGAAACAACCCGACGGAGCCGTGGAGAACAACCAAAACAAAGGTAAACACACCTCTTCACTGCACAAACGCTCTTTCACTTCCTGTTCAGATTTCACCGGAGCAAGCAGCAGCGGATTTTTTTATTATTGAAAAATGGCTACACACACGTCTGACCCAGAGTCTGAACATTTAATTCAAAATAAGACAGTGGGCGGAGATAGGGGGTAGGTGAAAACTACTACTTTCTGAGCGCTCAAAAACCTTTTATCACAGTGTTCCGGAAGTGTCCCGTTGTAGGTTTGGAGAACTTCCAGTTAATGGTTTTCTGTGGCAAAATGTGTGTCACATTTACACTGAAATGAATCACCCTATTGGAAATGATTTGCGTCCAGACACGTCGTTTCTGCGTCCGTAAGCCTTCCCTATCCACACAGCTTTGCGCAAATTTGTTTACATTTTACAGAAATGAAACTTAAGACCACATGGCTGAATAAACTCATAAACTCAAGCGCTCAAAAAAAAAGCTTGCTATTGTGCTGCTGATGCGGTTCAGCTTCTGTCGGACTAAAGGACACGACTCAGTGGAAAATGAGTGTTCTCTCTGTGACAGAGGGGTGTTCTGCTGATGGTGAGTCTGTTCTGTGCTTCTATCATACTGGAGATGTTCATATTAAACTTTTCAGAGATTATACGTCTGCAGGTCGTACACATAGACAGTATATATGAATGGACATATACTCTAGCCTCTTTGCATTTTGGTGGTGAATTACTTTGCGGCGCATAGACCTACGCCAGCGTATCAACGTTTTCAGATGTCCACACAGTGCTGAATCAGATCTGTAGAATTCGTGGGATCTGGCGCCACCAGATCGTTCCATCTCTGGAGCCATTTTCCATTGGATTAGTGTGAACAATCACTGCATCCACAATGAAAACGACTGATATACGTACTAGTGTGGATGGGGCCTAAATGTCTGGCATCAAAAATTCAGTGGCCATTGCAATTTCCAGTAGTTGGTGACATCACAAAAGACTGAACACAGACAGGTGTTTCTGATACAAACACCTGTCTGCAGGGGCAGAGTTTGGAGTGTGAAGACCTGTTAGACCAATCACACTGTTCCTGTATCTGTGTATTTAGATCCTCTATGACAAAAAGTACACACAAAATATATACAAAATATACTTGAGTGAACTCATGTTGCTGTGCATGTCGTGTTTCAGCCAAGAAGCAGGACGGAGGAGTGGCCATGGAGATGCAGCCTCTGAAGAGCGCGGAGGGAGGAGAGGTGGAAGAGAGGGAGAAGAAGAAAACAAGCGTACCCAAAAAAGAGAAGAGTGTCCTGCAGGGAAAACTCACCAAACTCGCCGTGCAGATCGGCAAAGCAGGTACTGTATACAAGCTGAGGCTAATGCTAAAAATTGTGATCAAAATGTGGAGGTTTGTCAGGATAATGACAATCATGAGGAATCACAAAAATAAATTAATGTTACTATTTGGTCTCAAACTCAAACCTGTTCACGTGTGTTGCTCTGTTCGCTAAAAATTACGTTTTCTTTTTCAGTTTCTATTCTCCTTAAATGTTTGCATATTACAAAAGTCTAACTCTTGTGAGCTTTAAGTCATGTTCTAATGTTTTTACTTTTTCGAAAACACGTGGAGTTGTGTTTTGTTTCTTTCACACGTGTTTGAGTAGGTCTTTTTTATTATTGTCTTCATCTCCAAAGCTCTAAATGCTCTGTCCCACCTTGTGATGTCATGAAGTAGTAGTTTTCACGTGAACAGCTCCTTTTACTTAGTTCAGTAGAGATTGACAATTCCAGGTCTGAAATTATCCAAATGAATCTAGTGAAGGTGTGTGGCGACATCACAAGATGGAACAGGGTGTTTTCTGTTTGAGAGCTGAGAGAAATGTGCAGGGTTTGTGCGTTAAACTCATGTGAATGAAACAAAACACAACTCCAGACACACAGTGATCAGGAGAGCACACGTTTGCATAGTAAAAATGTTCTGTGTGTGTTTGTGCAGGTCTGGTGATGTCCGCCATCACCGTCATCATCCTCGTGCTGTACTTCGTCATCGACACTTTTGTAATCGAAGGTTTGTGCAAGATTTCTCTCTTCAGTGTCATGTTTGGTTCAGTCCTGATTTAGCCAGTGTTTGGTCCTGGTGTAGTCCTGTTTTAGTCCTTGTTTAGCACTTCTTTGGTCCTGGTTTATCCCTGCATTACTCTTAGTTTAGTTCTGGTTTAGTTTGTTTAATCCTGGTTTAGTCCTGGTCTCTCCCTGGTTTAGTCCTGGTTTAGTTCTGGTTTAGTCTTGGTTTAATCCTGGTTTAGTCTTGGTTTATTCCTGGTTTATTCCTTGTTTAGCACTTGTTTGGTCCTGGTTTAGTCCTGCTTTAATCCTGGTTTAGTTCTAGTTTAGTTCTGGTTTAATCCTGGTTTAATCTTGGTTTAGTTTTGGTTTAGTCCTTTTAATCCTGGTTTAATCCTGGTTTAGTCCTGTTTAGTCTTGGTTTAGTTCTGTTTTAGTCCTGTTTTAGTCCTGGTTTAGTCCTGTTTTAGTCCTGGTTTAGTCCTGGTTTAGTCTTGATTTAGTCCTGTTTTAGTCTTGGTTTAGTCCTGGTTTAGTCCTGTTTTAGTCCAGTTTTAGACCTGTCTATGTTGTGTTTTCCAGGTCGTACGTGGTTGGCAGAGTGCACTCCAGTTTATATTCAGTACTTTGTAAAGTTCTTCATCATTGGAGTGACAGTTTTGGTGGTGGCGGTTCCAGAAGGACTTCCACTCGCTGTCACCATTTCCCTCGCTTATTCTGTCAAGGTAACTACACAACAAAGCTGTGTTACTTTTCTGGGGGCTTCCACATGCTTGTCTGTGTTTTAAAAAGCAGAAACTACCTCAGTCCTGCTCTAGTCCTTGTTTAGACCTGGTCTGATCTGGCTTTATACCTGGTGTAGTCCTGTTTTCAGTGGCGATCCTACACTGATTTACTCCCTGGGCAAGACCCCCTTCTGAAAATCCTTTCCCCCCATGAGACATTTTTTTCCCATAACAATGTTTTATTAATGACAAGTGCACATTGTTCAGTATAACTTATCATAACTTAAATGAATATCAGAAAAGACAATAAAATTCTATATACACAACCGTGTTATTATTATACAGAAATCATTTTTAAAATGTAATGACTGCAATACTATTGGACTACAGTACCCCCCAAAAATACTGCACAAGCAGCCAGTTTGAACAATACAGTGCACATGATCACAATTTTTAACCAGGAGGAGGCGCCCCCCGTGAAATTCCCTGTCTGCCTGTGCCCAGGACCGCCCCTGCCTGTTGTAAACCTGCTTTAGACCTGGGTTAGTTCTAGTTTAGTCCTGTTTTAGTCCTGATTTAGTCCTTGTTTAAACCTTGTCCCAGTACGGATATATTGAACAAGTTGTTCTTGGGGTTAAAAAGCGTTATATTAGGGTCACCACGGTGTCTTAAAAGTCTTAAAAAGGTCTTAAATTTCATGTTCCTAAATTAAAGCCTTAAACAGTCTTAAATTATATTGTCCATGTCTTAATTTTTTTTCACAAAGGTCTTAAATTTCATTAGGCAATTTTTTTGTATACTCAACCGGCTGCAGTGCAATGTTAAATGGAGGGAACAAACAACTACGTGAAATCACATAACATGAATGAACATCTAATTTGGAGTATACGCAAACAATACTTAGTTTGTCTTGTTAGAATGTCATGATTTTTATTTTTTTTTTTTTTTTAGCATATTACAAGCAATGCATACTACTATAAATGAGTTCTGAATGAGATTTCATTAAAGTATTTTTTTTTTGTTTTGTTATTTAAAGCAGTGAGTAATGGTCATTATTAGAATTGGATCTGGTGTTTTTTGCCTGCATAATGGGTGTGATGTTGGTCTTAATTTTCATTTTAGTGGTCTTAAAAAGTTCTTAAAGGTTTTGGGGTAGTCAAACCTGGGAATACCCTCTATATTGTCTGATCATTAGTGTTAGCATGCTAGTTGTTGTCACTGTCACAGCAAAACTCCACTCTGGTCTCTGAGATGAGTAAAAAGTGCTTGTAAACTCATCGTGGTGAATAATTAGGATACTCTGAATGAATAAGGTAAGTGAAGAAGAACTCTGGACCACAGCAAACTGTTTAAAGTGAACTAGCTCTGTTTTCCACATTTTTAAGCATAAAATCTTTTCCATTTTTTCTAAGCAACCAACGTCAGTCCTTTTTGAGAACTAGAACAGATGCCCTCCCTTTCTCTCCATGGGGTCTTATTGTGTGTAAAAGCTGCTAACCCTGTAGTTCAGAGCTCGACAAACATGTTCTGAAACATGTGTCTCTTGTATTAGTTTAAAGTCAACATTTGAGTCTTCTCAGATGTGAGTGTCCGGGCTTAGCTCAGCGCTCTGTCTGATTGATGGCGTTTGTAGCTGTGAATGTGGCACTGTTGCCTTTTACTTGAACATGTTTAAAATCGATTTGAGTCGTAAACATTGATTTTTCTTTCTCTGGGGTGAAACACGGCCTGTAGAGACTAGTGAACTGCCGCTCACTCTGTACGCACTGGGAATGATGTGGGTGCAAATGCAATGCAGAATTTAACTTTTTGTATGTACACTGCAAACAAATATATTCATCTTATTTGTGTAGTTTGGACAAGCTATGAGTACTCATTACAGATTCATTCAAGTACTGTATTTTCTGGGCTATTGGGCCTCCAACCCCATCAAAAAACGACTGCACGCCCCACAATCCAGAGCACCCTATACACGAATCCAGCACGACTTCAGTAAACTATAAAGCTGCACCACTCACAGCGCACACAAACACACACGGAGCAGACAGCGACCGCACAGCGAAAAACTTCCACAGACACACTCATCACTCCACGCAGACGAGGAACGAGGAACCAAAAAAGCAAGTGCAATGTGCCACTTCTAGCCACAACTGAAAAAAACTGAGTCACTGCGAACACACCGACAATCCGTTGGTCCCAGACAGCACCCTCCCTACACGCCACAACTGAACAAAGCCCAGAGTCACCGTGAACGAACAAACAAACAAAACCACTCACCCATCACACTGTTGTTTTTCCTTTATAGTCCGGTGCGGTTTATTTGTGAAGAAAGTTTGAAAATAGACCATTTTATGACAGTGCACCTTATAATTCAGAGCGCCCTATAGTTGCGGAAAATATGGTAATTCAGGTTTAAGTATAATTTTTAATTTTGTTTTTACTTCAGTTCTAATCAGTAAAAATATTACACTGATGAAAACTACAGCAAAATATTTTAGCTGGTGAATACATAGAATCAAAGGTTTTGTGAGAAGTTATCAGCCCTGTTCCACAGTCATCTAAAAACCTCCAGCCTTCTTTATGATTCTGAATGTCCTCCTTAGCTTTGCCTGTCGCACAGATTTGATTCTCACTTTCTGATATCTCTGTGAACAGAAAATGATGAAGGACAATAACTTGGTGCGACACTTGGACGCGTGTGAGACGATGGGAAACGCCACGGCCATCTGCTCCGACAAGACCGGGACTCTAACTACCAACCGCATGACCGTGGTGCAGGCCTATGTCGGTGAGAGACTAGATTTAGATGATTTTATGTTTAATACGTCATCACTGAGTTTGGACGACATAAAAAAGTATATTGCCATCGTTGAAAAAGTAGAGGGTTGTTTACAATGTGGAAATTGGTGTAAAAATGCTATCATTGAATAAATGTATGCACAGTCCTATTCATCGTTTCAATAGTTTATATGCCTCAAATGTCATATATTATTCACACTGACTCTTGTGAGCTTTAACATCTAAATTCTAAGCTCAAAAACACACCTGGAGTTGTGTTTTGTTTCATTCACACATGTTTGAATAACTCTTTATTATTAGTCTGTCTTCATCTTCAAAGCTCAAAATGTTCTGTTCCACCTTGTGATGTCATGAAGTGGTACTTTTCAACATTTTACCTTTTGTCAAGTAGCAATCCAGGGCTCAGATTATCCAAATGATTCTAGTCGAAGTGTATGGAGTTTAAAAACACAGTGGAGCACCTCTTGTATGACTGCATTACATCACAAAGTGGAACAGAGTGTTTTCTGTTGGAGAGAAGTCTAAATGTGCAGGTTTGTGTGATGAACATGTGTGAATGAAACAAAACACAACTCCAGGTCTGTTTGTGATGAGGAAACGACAATAAAACAGAGATCAGAAAACTGGCACACTTTAGAACTACACTGCAAGTTCTGGTTTAGACCTGGTTTAGACCTGGTTTGATCCTGGGGGGGTTCAGTCCTGGTTTAGTTCTGCATTAGTTCTAGTTTAGGCTTGAGTTTAGTCTCACTTTAGTCAGTGAATCATGTACAAAGGGATGGGAGTTTGCATCAGTAGAATTATCTAGCGATTTCTTAGCGATATGGTACTATAAGGCTGTGCAATGATTTTCATTTTGATCAGGATTTGTGTGTCAAACGATCTCCAAACTCATATAATCAAGTTGCAAGTTGAGTTTTTTGTTTTGTTTTGGGGGTTTTTGACTGCTGCATAAATGCATCATGTAACAAAAAATAATAATTTGAATAATCATGATTTCAGTATTGACCAAAAATAATCGTGATAGTGTTTTGTTTTTTTTTCCATAATGGAGCAGGCCTATGATACCATGACTACTCTCTTTTCAGTTCCTAATACAAATATTGTGTCTTTATGTATCTGCTTTAGTAAACATATATTTTCTCTTTTTTCTGAATACATTTAAACTTTGCTGCATAAGTAAAAGTGTCAAAAGCTAAAAGTGAGAGAGTTCATGTGCTGTGTGTCTGTGCTGATTGTGTGTTGCTGTTCCAGGGGACATGCACCACAGAGCGATCCCAGACCCAGGGCAGATCAACCCCAAAACTGTAGATCTTCTGGTCCACGCCATTTCCATCAACAGCGCCTACACCTCCAAGATCCTGGTGAGTCTCACACAGGCCGTGCTTTTTCTACAGGCATTAGGTTCAGGCATTTGGTATTTATTATTGGCCTGTCCACTGCATTCATGTTCTAGTATTCTGATGGTGGGCAGGGGGTCAGTTCTATTGGAGATTACTGAAACACGTATTCAGACTTCTGATTCACACATGCTTCTCCATCTCATAATTTGTTTGGGATTGACTCCACAAACCTTCATATTAACCTTACCTTTTTGTTTCATGTGGATAGGCCCAGGAATTAGAGAGTTATGAACGATTCACACATTGAGTTCTATCCCGTCTTTTAAAAATGCTCTGGTTCAATATTTACATAACCCATGTAATTGTTTTTGATCATCTTGATGAATTTTGTTGGTCATCTTGTATTTTGTCACTGTATTTGTACTCTGTCTTAGTTTAGGCTCAAATTGGATTTATTCAGTGTCTAACAGTCATGTGTGAGTGAGTGTGTGTGTGGTTGTGTTGCTTTTGTTGTTTTGTTTTTTCTGTTTATTTGAATGTGTGTATCCTACTGTCTGCCCTGCTGCAAGTGTCTTCTGTTGTTGTGACTATGAGGACCCCATCAAAAACGAGATGGTGAGACATCTCAAGGGGCTTATCCTCCAAACTAATACATTCAAATTCAAACCATAAACCAGGTCAACTTAATCTGCATCTGACAGTTACACAGAAAACTCCACCTGAGGATTCTGTCCTGTCCTCCAGCTCAGTTTAAACTAGAGATTCTATAATGTAGCAATATATAAGATTTTAAAATCTATAACCAGGCCCACAAATGATGTTAAATTATAGAAAAGTTCACAAATCTTTTTTCTAAAGATAACAACCACATGCATTTATCTAGGACACAAGTTTGTTCCTCATGAGTCTGTTCAAAAAGATTACTCTGATGCACTGAGGACAAACTAATGACACATAGACACACACCAACAGGGCAGGGCAGAAATGTTCAATACTGGACTAGACATCCCAAGTTATAATATTGTGTCCTCATTAGGGCTGTAACAGTACATGTATTTGTGTCAAACCGTTTTGATACGGGATGTTTGGTTCAGTGCAGGGTTGTGCACAAGTGAATTTGCGCTATTTTGTGTGTTTACATTCCACCACAACATGTGCAGCTACATGGGAGGTTCGGCTCTTTAATATTCCTGCAGTGTTTCCCGCAGTGCTTTATAGTTAGGGCGACTGCTTTGACAACACTTGCCCCCTCGCCCCTAAATACAGCTGGGGACATTGTAACTGCAGCAGATCTGCACTTACTGCAGACAATGTGGACAAGTTGGTTTGAAAACTGAGTAAAAGTTCGTGCTGGAACTGTTAGTGCTGCACTTTACTTTTTTGAAACGTTTTGTTTACTGTTTACAAGAAATGTATTTTTTATAATATTTCATACATTTGTTGCTTATTTGAGAATATTGCATTGAACACATGTTAAGCACACAAGCTCTGCATATTTAGGCTGAGTCCTTCTTTCAAACTGAAAATACACCATACACTCCACACACCTTCACTAGGATCATTTGGACAATTTCTGCCCTGGAATTTTCAATCTCTACTGAACAAAAGGCAAAAGTTAGTTGAAAACTACCTTTTTATGACATCACAACAGGAAAAGAGCATGTAGAGCTTTGGAGATGTAGACAGATCTGGAGTTGTGTTTTTTTCCCTCTCAGCCCCCAGATGTGGAGGGAGGTCTGGCCAAACAGGTGGGGAACAAGACAGAGTGTGGTCTGCTGGGCTTTGTCCTGGACCTGAGACAAGACTACGCCCCAGTGAGAGAGCAGGTCCCCGAGGAGAAACTCTACAAGGCAAGTCCTGGTTTAGACCTGGTTTAGTCCTGGATTAGTCCTAGTTTAAACCTGGTTTTGTCCTGGTATAGTTCTGATTTAACCCTGGTTCAGTCCTGGAGTAGTCCCAGTTTAGTTCCTGGTTTAGTCTTGGTTTATCCCTGTTTTAGTCACAGGGTGAATCCTGGTTTAGACCTGGTTTAGACCTGGTTTAGACCTGGTTTAGACCTGGTTTAGACCTGGTTCAGTTCTGGCTTTGTCCCGGCAGCATACTCTTGGTTTAGTCCTGTTTTAGTCTCTGGTTCAGTCCTAATTTAGTCCTGATTTAGTCCTGGCTTAGTCCCTGATTTAGTGAGCGATATCTAACTAATCCACGGATACAGGAGGATGGGAGGGCATCTGACACAGTTGTGTATTGTGTTTCAGGTTTACACGTTTAACTCTGTGCGTAAGTCCATGAGCACCGTGATCAAACTGTCCGACGGCACGTTTCGTCTCTACAGCAAAGGAGCCTCAGAGATCATGCTCAAAAAGTCTGTTCAGATATTTTTGAATTTACGCCAAATGAAACATGATCAGAATCTCATGTTTTCCTGTGTTCTTCTGTTCAGATGTTCGTATATCCTGGACGCCAATGGAGAGCCGCGCAGTTTCCGCCCCCGAGACAGAGACGAGATGGTCAAACAGGTACAAGAGCACCACAACAAGCTTTTCATAATGTCAGTATTCAGCTTTTGTTTAGACTTACTCACCATGGGAAGAGTAAGTAGTAAATATTGTACAGTGTGCAATAGAGTACTCAAGTAGAAGTGGAAGTATGATGTCTGAAAAACTGGAGCAAGACACATTTTGCTCAAATACATGGGGAAAAAATCAGGTACAGGCTCTTTAACTTAATTTCACAAGTAAAGCCACATTCCAGCTCAGTCCTGCACAAACATGGGACTGATCAATTATGCACAGAGCCCGGAACACAGGAAACACAATGATCTCATCTCATTCACTTCACTTGTGCCTGGAGTAAAATCATTTCCACAACTTTGTCCCATGGAGCTGTGTCTCATTTCTTATTTAGTTCAGTGTCTGTGGGCTGTTCCAGAATGATGTTATAAAAGGAAGAAATGAGAAATCAAATTAAATCAAATGATCATTCGGAATTATGTAAACTGTGTCGGGACTGCAAGATTAAGCACAGTAAAATTGAAATTGTAATTTGAATGGACGCAATCAGGCTGCAGTTTTTCCTAGTTAGATTCTCGTGTTAGTTTGCCAGTTCATGTTTTAGTCTTTTTGTCAATTCTTCTACACGTGTTTAAAATCTAAACTGTAAACTATGCTTGTATCGCAAATCAGATACTAATCAATACTAAAACTGGTTTTGAACCTAGATGCTCATTTAAGCAGATACTGCCCAAATGTCCAACTGACCGGACAAAACTGAACCTTTCCTGAATGTCTTTAGAATGATCTGGAGCTGTGTCAGTACAAGTATAAGAGCACATAGACTAGTATACGCCCATGGACCACTGAGGGAGTACACAGATATAAGGACACAAAAAGAAAGTACTACCATTTAATGTGGAAAATCCCATTCTGTTGTCTGAAGAAAGAGTGTTTTTATTATCATCACTGCACTGGGATTGGTTTGAGTATCAAGTCTACTCCTGAGTATCAAAATAGAGTTTGAGTTGAGTTGTGGCTGATGCTGTTGATGTTGCTGAATGTGTGGGCTGATGTGTTGGCTGATGTTTGTGCTGTGGTGATGTTGTGACTGATGTTGTGGCTGATGTTGTGGCTGATGTTGTGGTTGATGTTGTGGCTGATGTTGTGGCTGATGTTGTGGCTGATGATGCTGTGGTTGATGTTGTGGCTGATGTTGTGGCTGATGCTGTGGTTGATGCTGTGATGCTGTGGTGTTGTGGCTTGATGTTGTGGCTGATGTTGTGGCTGATGCTGTGGTTGATGTTGTGGCTGATGTTGTGGCTGATGTTGTGGCTGATGTTGTGGTTGATGTTATGGCTGATGTTGTGGCTGATGTTGTGGTTGATGCTGTGGTTGATGTTGTGGCTGATGTTGTGGCTGATGTTGTGGCTGCTGTTATGGCTGATGTTATGGCTGATGTTGTGGCTGATGTTGTGGCTGATGCTGTGGTTGATGTTGTGGCTGATGTTGTGGCTGATGCTGTGGCTGATGTTGTGGCTGATGTTGTGGCTGATGTTGTGGCTGATGTTGGTTGATGTTGTGGCTGATGATGTTGTGGCTGATGTTTGTGTGCTGATGTTGTGGTTGATGCTGTGGTTGATGTTGTGGCTGATGTTGTGGCTGATGTTGTGGCTGATGTTGTGATGCTGATGCTGTGGTTATGATGTGTTGTGGCTGATGTTGTGGTTGATGTGTGTGATGTGTGTTGATGTTGTGGCTGATGTTGTGGCTGATGTTGTGGTTGATGTGTGGCTGATGTTGTGGCTGATGTGTGTGATGTTGTGGTTGATGTTGTGGCTGATGTTGTGTTGGTTGTGGCTGTTGTGTATGTGTGGCTGATGTTGTGGCTGATGTTGTGGTTGATGTTTGTGGCTGATGTTGTGGCTGATGTTGTGGTTGACGCTGTGGTTGATGTTGTGGTTGATGCTGTGGTTGATGTTGTGGCTGATGTTGTGGCTGATGTTGTGGTTGATGTTGTGACTGATGTGGCTGATGTTGTGTCTGATTTTGTGGTTGATGTTAGAGCCCAACCCATAAATTGGTTGGCCGATATTATCGACTGATATGTGCTCCTGGAGATATATCGGCTATCGGCCGATATGCTTGCTGATATGGGGCGATATTTCACGTGGGCATGTTATACCTCGTTATAAAGCTTAGACTCTCTACATTATGTTCATTTACAGATAAATGTCCTAATATGTGGCTCCGCATCAGTATTTATCTGCGGAGTCGTTAGTCTGTGTGTGTGTCTGTACTGTCCCTGAACACACCACAGAGTCACATCACTTACTCACGTGTGTTTGCTTACACCCGCACTGACACTGAGATTATATTCTTTTTACGGACAATCAGTTTGAGTCTGGATCAAAAGGACATTTATTAGTGCAGACTTGTGATGTGGGAGGAGCTTGTGTGAGCGCTGAGTGTTGGAAATATGTCGACTTTGAAGCCAGTTTTGTTTAGCGATTAGCTGCTGTAGCTCCCGCACATAAACAGGCTGTTTTCTATTGGCCTGTTGTAAAGTGACTATATTGACCGTATATTGTTACTGGAGCTAAATTGATATGTAAATGAGCTTTGAATAGAAGTGTGAATGATCCACATTTATGCATATAATTAATTACCGCGGCGCGCAGCATTTACGGCTAAAGGCTAATAGTGGTAGTTTGTTTACTAGCTGGTAGTGATGGGTCGGTCGCGAACGAAGCGACTCTTAGAGCTGGCTCTTTGAAGCGAATGACGGGAAGCTGCTCTTTATTGGGAGCTGTGTTTTCTCTTTTTCTCACTTTTTTTTCTCTTCACGCCGCATGTAGACCCGTAGTTTGACAGAGGCAACGGCTCAAAACGAAACTTTCAGAAATCTGCGTGTGCATAGGATAGAAAAAACAAGCATATTTGGCTGCAGTTCAGCATAAAATGAATAAACCAGGACTAATCTTGGGCTCAAGAGAGGGAGAGAGATAGAGACAAAGTCCCGACACTCAGTCCTGGTTCAGTTTTGGTTTAGTCCTGTTTTATACATGGTTTAGATCTGTTTTAGTCCTTTTTCAGTCCTGGATCAGTTCTGGTTTAGTCCTGCTACCCATCATTAGTAGCTAGAATGTGATCTACTGTCTGTAAATATGACATAAAGAGGCAGAATAACAATAAATGTTGCCTAAATAAACCCAATATAGAATCCACTAGAGTCAAACCTAAGTTTTTAAACAATTCAAGATTTACAGTGAATTTTTACATCACTAACTATATCGGTGATTATATAGGCTATCAGCAGCTCCAACTCCCATTTTATCGGTTTCATATCGGCAACAACAAAATCCATCAGTCAGGCTCTAGTTGATGTTGTGGCTGATATTGTGACTGATGTTGTGGCTGATGTTGTGGCTGTTTGTGTTGCAGGTGATAGAGCCCATGGCCTGTGAGGGTCTGAGAACCATCTGCATCGCCTACAGAGACCTGTCCCCAAACCCAGAGCCCGACTGGGACAACGAGGCCGAAATCGTCACCGAGCTCACCTGCATCACTGTGGTGGGCATAGAGGACCCCGTCAGACCAGAGGTAAAATATATTTACAACTATATGTATAACACAAGAGATCTACACAAGAGACTGAGCTGCATCACTGTGAGCTATACAACTGCAAAACACATTCAACACATGGCTCAGTCTTTGCTCCTATAAGTGAATGAGTATTCTACTGAACCACAGCATTCCACAGCAGCTGTGCTTTCAGGTGTCAGTCCCACTGCAGGCTCCAGTTTCTGCACACACACACCCTGATGTGTGTGTGTACATCCCTGTCTCCTGCAACAACAGCAAAAAAAAAAAGATTTCTTGCTGATTTACCTGAAATGGTCAACCCCCGGTCACAATCTGCACTATATGTACCTGTTACATGTTTCAATGTACAGATGTTTTTAGAGGGTTTAATCATTAGCCCACAACTCTAAAGGTTGGCAGTTCAGTCACTACTGGGCCAAAGGTATTCTGTCCCTAGGCACAGCACTTCACCCATCTTGCCTGTGTATGTAAGTGACGAGTGAGCATGTGGAGGTGGTTGTGTTTGTTTCTCCACTTAGACACAAGCAAATGTTGTTTTTAGTTCTTGTCCCCTGCTGTAGAGTTTTATATGCTGACTGTTCATAAGGAGGTGATTTCATTTTGTCTATGTCTATGTGGCCCTCAGACCAGTGTTCATTGGCCTTCAGACCCCCTACTGATTTGGCCAATGTACATTTTTATTTCAAATTTAAATAATTCTACCTCCATTAGCTCAATAGCGCCCCATTACATCTCAAGTTCCAGAGGCTCTGTCTGTGCTGTGTCAAATGTACCATCTGATCCCCTGCTCCCACACCAGGCTGTGTCCTCCACTACAAACATGTTTCAATATGCAGCCCTCTGTAAACAAAGTGTGGACAGCCATGATCTGCACACACACAGACCAATGCTAAGATGTACAAAGTGTTTTACAAGTCTGACTGTGATCCAAACTTGCCCTCTGCCCTCAGGTCCCTGAGGCAATCCGGAAGTGCCAGCGCGCTGGCATCACGGTGCGGATGGTGACCGGAGACAACATCAACACAGCCAGAGCCATCGCAGCAAAGTGTGGCATCATCCACCCCGGAGATGATTTCATCTGTCTAGAGGGAAAGGACTTCAACCGACGCATCCGCAATGAGAAGGGAGAGGTCAGAGAGCACAGGGGTCACACTGGGGTCACACTGCTGTCATACAGGGGTCAGAGAGGCAGATACTGCGGTTAGGGAGGAGTTTATGGGTCATTATTATGTCTCAGAAAACTCACCAGCCTACTCCGTTTAGTGCTTGGATTGCCAGAGCCTTCACCTGCAGATAGAGGACACATACAGGTTTGTCTCATTCTCAGTTTATGGACAGGCCTCATGTGGATACTCAGAATCTCCAGAACTGTCTCCCTGAGCTGCAGAGGCTGCAGTAGTACTGACTTATGACTGGTGGAGGTGCTGGAGTTTAGGTAGTGACCATTCAGATCAGAGAGAGGCATTTTAGGTCTAAACCAACTGCATTTCAGCTTTGAAACTGGCAACCCAAATGAGAGAGTCATGTGAGGCTCATTCTGTGAGGCTCATTCTGTGAGACTCATTCTATGAGATTCATTTGGTTTGGTCATTTGGTCTTTAACCAAAACAATTATAGTATTATCAGCTTGGGCATCATGCGCAATGTTTTTGTAATTGTAAATTATTACATTACAGTTGTTATATTTGAAAATGTTTGCCTAGTACGAAGGGTAGGGATGCACCAATATGATATCGGTGTCTGATATCAGTGACCAATATTCGACATTCTGGAGATATCTGCTCCAAGATATCAGTTCATCCCATTTTGGTCTATAAATTGGTGTAATAAGACAAATTGCTGGCCAATATTGGCCCAAAACTTGTGTTTTTACAAAGCTGTTCTGTGATTACTTTAAACGATACATTTACATACAGTTACAAAACACACTTTTACCATAGGTATGTACATACCACTGTATGTATTTAAATGAAATCAGTTCTATTTTCAGTCTCTGCCTTGATATTGGTTGATATCAGGTATCGGCAGATACTTAAAGTATCGACATCGGTATGGGAACAGAAATAGGTGGATTGGTGCATCCGTAATCAGGGGACACTGATAGGCCATGTTAATAAAATGTAAAGCACAAATCTTCCATACAGTTCCTTAAATAACAGATAATAATATGATAATACAATTTGTGTTCACAGATTGAACAGGAGAGAATTGACAAAATTTGGCCCAAACTCCGAGTGCTGGCACGGTCCTCCCCCACAGACAAGCACACACTGGTCAAAGGTGAGTGCAGCAGACAGGAGCAGACAGGAGCACAACCGAGACTGAACCCAGACTGAACCCAGACTGAACCAGGACTAAAAATGACTTAAAGGGACTGTACCTTATTTATATTTATAAAATCAAGAGTAAAGCAGGATCTTAGTAATGATTTTGTGATACTTCTAAAATGCTTGAGTGGGATATCTTCATTTAAACCATCCTCTGTCTGTGTGTGTATGTGTGCTGTTGTGTGTGTGTGTGTGTGTGTGTGTTTGTGTGTGTGCAGGCATCATTGACAGCAGCGTTGTGGAGCAGAGGCAGGTGGTGGCTGTGACCGGAGACGGAACCAACGACGGCCCTGCGCTAAAGAAGGCCGACGTGGGATTCGCCATGGTAACACGTTGAATTTGAACGCATTTCAGGGCTACATCATTTTCAGAAAAAGTTGCTTCGTTTTCAGGTAACTGTAGGCCCTTTTTACACTGCTGTCCGGCTAGTTCTATTTCTCTCAAAAGTGTAGATCCTCACTTCCCGCTCCATTCATCCTCTGTGAGGATTTAGCCGAGTCGTGCTAAAATAAATCACTATTTAAATACCAGGATACACACAGCGGGTTACAGATGGATGATCACAGACAGCGTGAGAAGACCTTTACCACTAAGTAAATATTTCATCAAAGGAAAGTTCTGTGTTTATAAAAGCGGGTATATTTGTCTCAAAGCTAATGCTGATCTAGTCTAAAACTCAAGATAGAACACAACAACTTTATAAAAACACATGTCAGGACAAGAACATTGTTTGTGTATTTTGTGTATCCACGATAATGTACGATTTGAAACTCCACTTTTTGGAGCTTTCTACCATCCTATATTCCCTCATCAAAAACCTGCCTGAAGAGGTTGTAGATGTCATCCATGCATGTCTGAATAATCTAGTGATCTTTTCCGTACTATTCAAACCCTCCTTACAGTTAACTGATTCTGTCCAATGCTTGGCCCACAAGCCTACATCACCCATGCACGGCTGTTTTCCATAATTATACATAAATATTAAGAAACAATATTTAAATCTTTCAGTACGATATTATCACAATATGCATCTCACGGTACGATATTTATTGCGATATCTTGAAGAGACTGATATAATTGTAGATAGGACACGTTTTTGATGTGAATTATTTTCATCATAATCCCAGGAATTCAAGTAAAACATATTTCTTCATGTTGTCTGCGCTGAAATGAATCATGGGATATGTAGTTCCTGATGTTTATTTGCTACTGGTACTATAAAACAATGCATTTAAGTAAACGATTCTGTAATTTTCTATATTGTGACAGCCCACTGTATTATTGTGAGACTTTTGAAGATACGATGTCACGATATTTCAGTTATTGTTACATCCCTAATAAACATGATACAAAAGTGTACACAACAACCTGACAAACCTGATGCGATGTGCAGTAGTGTCACTCTGAAGGGGAGTGACAAAAATAGGGGAGACTTATGTTGATACATTGTTTTTGGTGAATATAGCCTTTTCCAAACAATAAAAGGTAACATGATGATCTAAATATGTTCTGTTACAGTCAATACCCTATAGAAGTCAAATACCCCGTCTTTCTAGACTCAAATACCTCTCCTCTCAACCTCTTCCTCCTCAAGCCGCCCTTCTCATATGTCAGTGAAACGCGCTAGATAAATAAAGACTTTACTTACTTACTTACTTCTCTCCCTCTTTCTTTTTTCTCTCTCTCTTCCCTCTTTCTTCTCCCCCTCTTATACCCCACTCTCTTCCACTCTCTCTATGTCTCCGTCTCAGGGCATAGCGGGCACAGACGTGGCTAAAGAGGCGTCTGACATCATCCTGACAGATGATAATTTCTCGAGCATCGTTAAGGCCGTGATGTGGGGCAGAAACGTCTACGACTCCATCTCCAAGTTCCTCCAGTTTCAGCTCACAGTCAACGTGGTGGCCGTGATTGTGGCCTTCACTGGAGCCTGCATCACACAGGTACCAAACCAGGACTAAAGCAGGGCTAAAGCAGGACAAAACCAGAACTAAAGCAGAAATAATCCAGGACCAAACCAGAACTAAAGCAGAAATAAAGCAAGACCAAAGCAGGACTAAACCAGGTCTCGCTGTAGTCCCTGTTAGTTGTGTGTCAGTCAGGGGGGACATGTTGAGATGTGACAGATGAGCCTCCGTGTCATCATGTTTAAAGTACAGTCCAATCTAACTCACAGTGACAGAAGTGCGTTTCTCTGTGCTTCTGTGTAAACTCACAGAGTTCTCTGTATCTGAGCTGACAAAATTCTAGACTTTAAGGTGAATTTTTAGACAAAAATATGTTGTTATCAGTTTGTTTTATTATATTATCTTTAATGGTTTTGGCATTACAAAAACCTAACTACAAAACATCTACCTAACAAAGAACATTTTATATTAAATTTCATATTTCATTTCACCTCAGTTTAAAATCATTTTGAGCAGACCCTTGTAAGTGTTCCTGTACCTGTACTGCTGTTTGGGAAACACTGGTGTAGGAGATAGTAAACAGAAGTAAACAGAGTTGTGATGTAATTGACCCAGTTGTAAATGAGCTTTTATTAATACAAAAAAATGAAAGTTTGCACTTAATCTACTGCATAGATTTACAGTATATATAGACTAAGATGTAACATAGTTTTGGATGACAAAGCATTACCTCCTGTCTGTCCATCTGATCCTGTTGCCTAAACCTCCTGACACATGTATTTTCAGAACACATCTAGTTCACTGTAAACTCATTATTCCCCTGAGGAGAGTCCTGGATTTCTTGTTTTGTGCAAACCCACAATGACAGTGTCTCATTTCATACACTTTACCATCTGTGCACATATGAAGGACTGTACCATGTGATTCTCTCTCTAACCCTCAGGTCAGAGGACTATTGCTGTGCAGTCTTTAGAACAACACGATTACACTAACTAGACCTTCTGTTTCTCTAATAAAATCTATAAAAAAAATACAGAGCCTTTACATTTGTAATGTCCTTTTTTTAATGGACAAACCTGCAGTGTAGTTTCTGTGGTCTCAGTGTAATACAATACTACATATAGAATTTATAAATAATGGCCCTAGTTGAATCGTGGAGCGAAGACTACAATAATATATGACTAAATGACAGCTACTGTACTACAAACAAATACTATCTACTAATAATATTACAACTACATACTTCTTTATATCTCCAGGACTCCCTCTTGTCCAGATACTCTGGATGATGTATGTTCTATAGTACAAACCCTCTTTCTTCCCGTCCTCCATGTGCAGGACTCTGAAGGCTCCTCCTCCTCTGAAGGCTGTTCAGATGTTTCTATTGCAAAAGAAAAATGAATATGTTAAATATGAGTTAATTTGTTTCTCAACTCATCAGTGAGGCTTCTTTTGCAATGGAACTTGGACTACTGACTGATTACACAAACATGTTTCTATGTCAGACCTGGGCATTGTGCAGCTCTCGGGCCACATACGGCCCTTTGGTTGACTCTGACCGGCCTGTTTAAGATCATTTGGATTTACAAAATAAACATTAAACAGTTTTAGAGAGTTTTTTTTTATTACATTTTTTGTAAGACAACCTCACTTTTGGTTAGTCAGAACATAAACTCTTCCCAGTCTGAGTAGCTCGTCCAAACAATGCAATTTCCTGATTTATATAAAGAAATACAATTCATATTATGCAGAATGGAATTAAACATTTTGGTTCAGCCCTCTACAATATTTTTTGTTTCTCATGTGGGCCCATGGAATTGCCTACCCCTGTTCTATAACTTTATGTAAAGGTTCATATTTGTTTTATGGTTATATATAATTTGTTTTACACACTTCCAGGACTCCCCGCTGAAGGCCATGCAGATGTTTAAGTTTATGTAAATGTTTATATATTTATTTTATGGTTATATATAATTGGTCTTGTTGTACTTCCAGGACTCCCCGCTGAAGGCCATGCAGATGTTTAAGTTTATGTAAATGTTTATATATTTATTTTATGGTTATATATAATTGGTCTTGTTGTACTTTCAGGACTCCCCGCTGAAGGCCATGCAGATGTTTAAGTTTATGTAAATGTTTATATATTTATTTTATGGTTATATATAACTGGTCTTGTTGTACTTTCAGGACTCCCCGCTGAAGGCCGTGCAGATGCTGTGGGTGAACCTCATCATGGACACTTTTGCGTCTCTCGCCTTGGCAACCGAGCCCCCGACGGAGGCACTGTTGCTACGGAAACCGTACGGCCGGAACAACCCTTTGATCTCGCTGACCATGATGAAGAACATCCTGGGTCACGGGGTCTACCAGCTCGTCATCATCTTCACCCTCCTCTTCATCGGTCAGAGACAAATTTGTACAACTGATCAATGACTTATCAATACAGGGAGTAGTGTGGAAATACTAGGACAGGTATAGTTCAGACTGGAGACAGGTCAGAGCGTCAGGTGGAGTTTGCTGTGGAAATGTCAGATTTGTTGACCTGATTTATGGTTCATATCTCTGGAATTACTGGGCCTATTCACATGAAACAAAAACTGGCAAAAAGTCCCGCGTGTTCTCTGTCAGGAGACATAAACTAAAGTGAAATTCTTTGTTCCCAATTGCTTCAGAAAATGGTGCCATTATTCAACCCCAAAGGTGTGATTATTGTCCGGTGAAAGCACTTTAAGCACCAAGCCAGAACTGAAGAAGCAGTTTGGATGAGCTGTGAAACGCATTTGATCAAAAAAACTTTTGTCCACTTGACAGAATTGAACTTCTTCTTTGCTGTAAGCCAGAAGGTTAATATGACAACACAATTAATGAGAAGGTTCAACATTTGTGGATGATACGTTAGAATAGTTACATAGACCCAGGGCCTTCCTTCTGACTCAGAACACATTTTTAATCTTTGATCAATACGAGCATTCTCGGCCCTGTTTAAGAGTTTGACCAATGTTATTTGAGGGAGACTTGTCTGACAGCACAAATCAGCTCACCTGTGGTAGTTCCAGATAAATCAGCTCTTTATGGTCAGATTGTGTTAAAACAAAGCTTAGAATAAAGTCTAACTTGAGTCACAGAGCTTCAGACAGAGCAGTATCTACAGTTAACATCACACCACGGGGAACACTGACGTCGTCTATAAACTCGTGTGTGTGTGTGCTTGTGTTCCAGGCGAGCGCATGTTTAACATTGACAGTGGCAGAAATGCTCCGCTCCACTCTCCGCCCTCAGAACACTACACCATCATCTTCAACACCTTCGTCCTCATGCAGCTTTTCAACGAGATCAACGCTCGCAAGATCCACGGAGAGAGGAACGTTTTCGATGGAATCTTCGGAAACCCCATCTTCTGCTCCATCGTCCTCGGCACCTTTGCTGTGCAGGTAAGCACTAAAATCATTTTGGGCCTCATTCATGAAATGTTCTTATGGACAAATTTTACTTAAGGCTTCTTACGAACATTTTTGGTATCCACAAAACTTTTTTCTTATCTAAAACTGTTTTTCTGGAAGAATGAACAGTCAGAACTCAAAGTCTACTGTTTTACAATATTATTACTCTAATAACGCAACAAAAAATTCTAATTCCTCCATTATTGTAAGTAATATATTTTCTTAAATTATTTCATATAAACATATGACCAATAACATTTATGAGTTGTTTTTAGAGTCTGTGTCTATTGGGTCTAACAGACCTTGTCCAGGCTGCAGTGAGCCTCAGTCTGTCCCAGCCCCAGTGCCTCCATATGGGCCTCTGTCACAGCCCTGTGCCTGGTCACCACGCTGGACTCAACACCCCATCACGCCCCGGACCCCCCAGTATCCCCCAGAACCCCCATCACACCCCCATACCCCCCATCACCCCCAAAACCCCCCAAAAAGCCCAATAAATATGATAAAAGCTTCCTTCCTGAGTGTGTCTGTGAGTTTGAACATCACTGCTGAAACTGTAAAACAGCTGTAATCTGTAGACGCTCCACTTGACCTCCTCATCACTCTCTCCCGCGCTCTTTCACACGTCATCATACCAAACCCATACTGGCCATATTTGGAAGTTCAGAGGGTGTTTCTAACCAAATACATATTTATTTTCTATGTAAATGAGTGTGGAGGTGTTCGTAGCTGAGTGTTGGTGAATTAGCTGCAACTGTCACTTTGAAATTTGGGATCTTAAGAACACTTTGTGAATCTGAGTTTTCTCAGCATCTTCTTAAAGTGGAAGTTACAACATTTTTAAAAGAAATGATTCATGAATAAGGCCCAGTGTCATTAAACTAGTGTTACTCAGACTGTTCTTACAAATCTGTTTGCTTCTTCTAATCTGTTTATAATATAATAACTGAAATAAAAGCATGTTGTGTTTTCTTTTGTTTTTTTGTTTTGTTTTGTTTGTTTCATTTTAGTTGTGTTACTGAAGGAGTGATAGCAGAGTTGTTAGCCTCACAGCAAAAAGGTCCTAGGTTCGATTCCCAGATCATGTGGAACTTTTCTGTATGGAGTTTGCATGTTCTGTTGCATGGTCAGAGGTTTCTTTGGAGATTTCTTTGAAGATTTCTTTCAACTTAAACATAATAATACATTTGTTTTATATTATATATATTTATATTTACAGACAAACTTTCTTACATCAGTTGATACTTTGCAGTGACATCATGCTGGGGAGGTTCTAAATGCATGTGTATGGCAGAATGTTCATAATGTATTAGTTACCTGGTGAAACAAGGCACACTTTAGCAAACACTGACAAAAAGATGATCTGAAAACAAAATGGATTTAAACAGAACTTTTTCAGGAGCATGTGTCCTGTTGAAACGGCCTACTCATTGATTTGAGCTCCCTAGCGCTACTGCGCTTACACACGACCCCCAAGCGCTGGTACAGTTTAAATGCCGTCGATTTGAACTCGTGAGGCACAAGTGGAGCAATACGGCATAAAAGTGTATATGTTTTGACCAGTTAAACATCAACTTGTGTGTGTTAGATTTATGGCAGAATATCTACATTAGATGATTGAATAGTTTGAATTTAATATTTGATTTTATTGTGATCATTTTCATTACATTGTATTTAATTTTGTTTGTGTAAAGAGCGATGTAACTTGTATAAATCAAATTGAATTGCGGGAATTGTTCCATCTTCAGTGTCCCCAGTATCACAAAGGTGAGGTGTGCGCCCTCTAGTGGATGCATTATTTGGGAGAAGGTACAGGTATAGGTTTGCTATCTCTACCCAAATTCATCTAAATGAGTGAATAATGGAGATTCTACACTGGGAGCATTATTAAATATAAACTGGCTTGTCGATATGTGCTCCCTTTAGTCGGAGCAGAACACAACTGTCCAAATGAACCACGCAGATTCATGTAAATGAGTGGAAATTTGAAACAACTCCGGTATAAAGTGTGATGTAAACAGCATCAAACCAGCGTCTCTAATCCAAAGAAATAAACTGGGGAGGTCAGGGTTAGGTTTTGGCTTTATTGGATCTATACAACTGTAAACGGAAAAACATAAGGTCACTTATTTCAAGAGGGTAGCCCATTTAGACAGAACAGCGATCATGGTCCTGTTTAGGAGTTAGGTTTTTGTAAAAGAATCACGTGATGGCATGGTCTCCTATTCACCTGTGTGTAGTCTTAACTGTATTTTTTCTTAAAATACATTACTGACATTTCATGGCTGAATAAAAACAAATGAATGAATGAAAACATTTATGAATATCTGAATTTCAACAAAAAGGTGAGTGTGACTCACTAAGGGAAAAACTGTTGGCTAATGTGACTGTAATGTTATCTGAGAGGGGCTTGTGACCGGATTTTGAAAATCAAAAACTGGGACACCCCCGGTTTGGAGTGGATAGTAATAAAATTGTGAATCGAGTGCATAATTAAAGAAAACTGTGCTGCACTCCACCCATTTCATGAGTCAGTATAGTCACATTTTCTTTGTGTTTTGGTAATTTTTAAGCAGCTTTTCTGTATTTTACCTAAACAAATGACAATTTATACCTCTCTTATGCCGTATCGAATTTGACAAACAATAGGGACACCTGGGACATGTCTTGCAAAAAATTGGGACAAATCACTGATTTTAGATAAATCTGCTGGGACAGGGGACCCAGGGCTCAAAACTGGGACTGTCCCAGGTAAATAGGAACATCTGGTTACCCTGTTAACAGCACAAATCAGTACCTCCTGTTAGCATGGAATGTTGACATCAGCTGAAAAATATCAATATCATGCATTATTCAGTCACTTCTTATACTCATATTTCGACATCCAGCCCTAACCCTGCACAGCTCACACTGATCTGTCTTTCTGAGCGGAGACCATCACATTGTGAATCTGGAAACTCTCACTAAAAGCATCAAGCAACCACATCTCTGCCCTGTGACTGGACGGGTCATCCAGTGGCTCCAGCCCAGACGCACAAGTGCTTCAAGAGAAACTGAACTCACTAATGTCTTGTGTAAGATAAACAGAGGTGGGACAAAAAAGCTACCTGTAAGATCAACCTGGACTGAAAAAACTACCAACTACTAAGGCTTCACTCATTTCAAGAACTGAATCTGTGACAATGTGCAACAGGCAATAGAGTCCTAACCCCTGTGCCCCATGCTCGTGACATCTTTCTCTCTGTGTACTGCTACATAACCCCTGTACTGGTATACATAACCCGTATACAGGTATACATAACCCATATACAGGTATACATAACCCGTATACAGGTATACATAACCCATATACAGGTATACATAACCCATATACAGGTATACATAACCCATATACAGGTATACATAACCCGTATACAGGTATACATAACCCATATACAGGTATACATAACCCGTATACAGGTATACATAACCCATATACAGGTGTACATAACCCATATACAGGTATACATAACCCATATACTGGTATACATAACCCGTATACAGGTGTACATAACCCATATACTGGTATACATAACCCATATACAGGTATACATAACCCGTATACAGGTATACATAACCCATATACAGGTGTACATAACCCATATACAGGTATACATAACCCATATACAGGTATACATAACCCATATACAGGTATACATAACCCATATACTGGTATACATAACCCGTATACAGGTGTACATAACCCATATACTGGTATACATAACCCCTGTACTGGTATACATAACCCATATACAGGTATACATAACCCGTATACTGGTGTACATAACCCATATACCGGTATGCATAACCCCTGTACTGGTATACATAACCCATATACAGGTATACATAACCCGTATACTGGTATACATAACCCGTATACTGGTATACATAACCCCTGTACTGGTATACATAACCCGTATACTGGTTTACATCATGTGTATACTTTAATATAAGCCATGTTTCAAACGGTGATAGTCCAGTTTTCATTGCTCTATATAACATGTTTTGTATTTGTACTGTTATTTCAGATGCTGATAGTTCCATGCTCTATGTTTTAATTCATGTTTTTATTGTTCTTTCAGATCGTGATAGTCCAGTTCTATGTTTTAACTCATGTTTTTATTGTTCTTTCAGATTGTGATAGTCCAGTTCGGGGGTAAGCCGTTCAGCTGTGCCCCTCTGAACGTGGAGCAGTGGCTCTGGTGTCTGTTTGTGGGAGTGGGAGAGCTGCTCTGGGGACAGGTCAGAGGACATATCTTTATTTCATCAGATTATACATTATTTATTATATACAGTATTATTTTTTACATTATATGTTATATTTAGTCATGTCAGAAATTCTGGTTTTACAATCAATAATTGTTATTTAATAATACATCATATGCAAATTCTTTATTTAGCTGATTCTGCAAATTGGAATAATCGCAACTAACTTACTAACTTACCTAGAGTTTTGTTGAAAAAAGCAACTACCTAATGCACAGGGGTGCGAGAGTAGCCAACAGTTGTACTGAAGTACAAAATTAATTACTTGTGGAAACACAAACTGTCAGGTCAGAATGTCTGATTATTACAGACAGGACAGACACAAAAATTAGACAAACTAAATCAGAGCTGAAGGAGCGGTGCAAGGAACACAAATGTTCAAATCATTTCATATTGTCACATAAAGCTTCTGTCACTTTAGACTTACTCACAGTGGTTACATGTACAATATATTACTCAAGAAGAAGTACTGTTACTGTTACTTCAATAAAATAATACACAGGTAGGAGTAAAAGCATCTTGCTAGAAAGGTACTCTGAAAAGTACAATTTCTCCAAAAAATTACTCAAGTTCATGTAACTGAGTCCTATGGGCTGCTGTTGTTGTTGTTGTTGTAGTTGATAGCCACGGTGCCCACGGAGCGGCTGCCCTGTCTGAAGGAGGCCGGGCTGGGTCTGGAGCCGGGAGAGGAGGAGGGAGAGGAGCTGGCCGAGGATGAAGAGGAGATCGACTGTGCAGAGAGAGAGCTCAGGAGGGGCCAGATACTGTGGTTCAGAGGCCTCAACCGCATACAGACACAGGTACTATATATATCTGTATTACCTATAGTATAAAACAACTGTATACAGACACAGGTACTATATATATCTGTATTACCTATAATATAAAACAACTGTATACAGACACAGGTACTATATACAGTATATCTGTATTATCTATAAAGCAAGTATAACATGTACAGATGCAGGTGAAATATAGACAAGTATTATCTATGACATAATACGTATAAACAGATAGAATATATTTAACTTAATACATACAGACAGAGAAAGAAAGTAAGTAAACGAAAATATCATGAATGCTTGTCAACTCTACATTTGTACTTAATTTAAAAGTGAATTAGAAATAGGTTGTAAAGCAGTTTAATGTACTCAAAAATCAGAATGTTTAGGACTTAAAAAACAACTCTACATTTTGTTTTATAAATATTTCCCCATTGAACTGATAGACTGATTGGCAAACTGCAATTTTAACTCATTACAAGGAAATCAAATGACTATTATAGCCTGTAAAAGTGCACTTTTCTGAATGTGCTGTTTTAACTTGTGTCTTTCTGCTTGTGCCAAATAACCTGATGTTTCTCTCCATAGCACCATTAGATAAACAGTATTCTTACCTAACAGCCTCCTGTGGTATGTATCGAATGTGACAGTTCAATTGTGCCTGATGTCCTGATCATGACCGTATGGTTTCATGGGAGAAAACCAGAATGTGATTATGCAATAATAATGTACATTTCCATTTGGAGATTTGGTCTGAACACGTTTACATCAGAGTCCTAAATAACACAGCTCTAATGCTGCGGTATTCTGATAACATTTGTTGTGATTTGAACCATGTTTAAATGACCTCTTATCAAAAATATACCTGGTGTTCTTCAGATAGTGTGCATTCTCACCTGTCCTGTCTTAACACTTCACAAATACTTATATAACTATGGTTCTATGGATAATAGATGCAGCACTTCAAGCATTACACATGTTGTTTAATTGGGATAAAATTCAACTGCCTTTGAACACATGAGACTTACCTGAATGTATACGGAACACCTGTAATTTATACATAAGGTCTATAATTAATACATAATATAAGATATATAATATAGTTTATACATAATATAATTTATACATAAGGTCTGTAATTTATATATAAGGTGCTGACCCCTGAGGTGTGAATAATATTACTGGCTAAAGCCAGACTTTAAATACGAGCTTTACAGAGAAGTGATCAGAATGAGTGAAGGTGAATAGACACAGAGGATATAGATTATCACCTGATGACATCAAGCAGTGGGGGCAAGATTTTTAAAGAACACATATTATGCATTCCTGTGGCTTTAGACATGTTTTCAGTCACCATGGGATCAGTCTTTTAACTTGTTTACAACTTAAATATTGTCTACATTTGGAAAATACATTTGGAACTCACTCTGCTGTATGAACAATGCCAAAGCTAAACAGTTGAAGTCTTTATCCTCCATAAATGCTCTGCTAACAGACCCATGTGTCCGCTGTGAACACAATTTGACCGCAGAATGAGTCTGGTGATGATTTATGAACTTCAAAACCATGCAGGAAGTCCAAAGTTGTACCTGTGACGCAACAAAACAGGCAAAATCCCAATGGAGCATTTTGGATTAATGGATTAAATAAATGTGTGAATAAAGCAAAATACAACTCCAGGTATGTTTTTGATGAGGGACAAGAATATAACATGCTTAAAAGTAAAAAAAACAAACAAAAAAAACACTTAAATTTAGCATAATATGTGTCCTTTAAGCCCCTAAACAAGGTCTGAATGTTTTTGACACAGAAACAACACATGGAAAAAATAAGTATATCAGAATACAGGAGCGAATCTGTGTAAAATGTTGAATCCTCTAATGGACTCCCCCTCACACACACACACACTCTCTCTCTCTCTCTTTCTCACATGTACCTAGTGTTGGGCTGACCTGGTGCTGCTGTTCTGTGTGTGTCCTGCAGATGGAGGTAGTGAGCACGTTCAAACGCAGCGGTTCGTTTCAGGGCGCTGTGAGGAGGCGCTCGTCTGTGCTCAGTCAACTTCACGACGTAAACACTCTCTCTACCCCCTCTCACGTGTCTCTGTCCGCCACAGCCAATCCCAGCTCAGCGGCGCCCCCCGGGAGTGAGTCCGCCAGCATGCACTCAGACACCACCGCAACCACACAGACACACCAACAGGGGGAGCAGTTTTATATACAAGAGAGGGGACAGTCTGCAAACAATACAAAAACTGTCTCATTTAGGTGAGAAAAGTACAATAAACAATCTTCAGCTGTAAAAGGTTAAAATGTCCAATGTTTTTTGTAATTTAAGAATAAATGATGAGTAAAAGCTATATTTGCCATGAATGTGTCTAACTCTTATCTGGTGACACAGATAACATTTCAAATCAGATTCTTAGGACAATAATACCAAGGACAATAATAATATAGCCTTATTGCACTTTGCAAGGTGGTGGAAAGATATGATGGTTACAATTACAACTGTTTTTGTTCAAGAATGGGACAGTCTAGTCATTTATTGCCCCAAACTCAGTCTAACACTTTAGTGCTATAGGAACATGGGAGGGCATCTGACACACAGGGATATATATTTATAAATATATATAGGAAGACAGGAGGGCATCTGATCTGACTCACATGGATTCAGGAGGATGGGAGGGCATCTGACATACAGGGAAATATATAGGAGAATGGGAGGGTATCTGACACACTGCACACTCCTCCATGGCCCTGCTCCGGTCCCGGGACACTCTCTCTCTGCACTGCACGTGTTCTGCGGTCCTGGTTGTCTCCTCCTCTTCCGCTCGCTGCTCGTGTTTTACCCCTCTTTCTAAAACAGCACTTCGCCCTGGTTCCTGTGTTGATTTGTTGAATGTCTTTTGAATTTCAAAGTAGGAGGTGGGACTATTCCTCTCTTATTATTCATTTTAATAAAAAACTATTTAAAAAAAAAAACATTGCAATTTAACTTGAGCTTTTCAAATATTTTCAAATTTGAGAGAGAAAAAGTGCCTCCTCTTGTGTTGGTGTTTCTATGTTTGTGAATGCGGTCAAGCGTTGTGGAGCATTGCGAAGATGTATTTTTTTTACAATTTATTTCATGATTATTACTAGCCTCTGAAACAGTTATTTTCAACCATTTCTGATTAAATAGAATCAGGTTTTTCCAACTAAATATTGGTAAACCTTCGAGTATACAAGGCCCATTGGTCGGTGTTGTTAAGACTGTGATCGGTTCATTTTTAACAGTGTATTTACAGCGGTCGTGAGGTCTGGCTCTCCTGACGTCTGCAAAAATCTTCTCTTCTTATTTTCAAATCACTCTATTTGTTTTTCTTGTATCTATCCTGAGCTATTCCAGGTTTCCAGATGTTGAAGTGAAGTCAGCTGAAATTTGCACCAAAATGTGTCCAAAAATACTGCAAAAAAATGAATTTCTGCATGAGTGAAAATTACTTGAACTCCCAATTTTGATTTGAGTAATTTTGACCAGATTTATTTAGTAAGTTATGATTAATTCCACTGTATTTCTGATAAGTTGCAATGCCTTTTTTCTTATTTCAAGCTAAAAAAAAAAATATTTTTTTTTTAGAAAGTTACATAAAATAATAAAAGATGCCAAATAAATTAATAATAATAATAACTTGAAATATGAAAAAAACAAAATTAATTACATTTAAAAATGTAGACATATTAAATAAATGTATTCTTTTCAATTTTACTCAAATAAGTTGTGAATTCCTGTGATTTTAGCTCATGGGGACATTCTTTTTGTCCAGTGCAGTCACAGTTGTCCATACAGTGGTATTTAGATTGTAAACAATCTAAATCGCGGCTCTTAGATAAGCTTTCGTTTTCATTTTTGTGTTTTTTCTTTTTCCTTTCTTCATCCCTTCTTCCATCATCATGTCCCGTTTGTCCCCGCCCCCTCTCGTTTAGCCCCTCCCCCTCTATGTTCGCCCCACCCCTCTCGTTTAGCCCCTCCCTCCCTGTTCATGTCCTTTACTTCCTGTGTGTCAGTTCTGTGTGCGTGGGAGCGAGTGTGCATGTCGTAGTGACATTTTTAGTGCGTCGATGCATTTCTCTAAGTGTTTGTGGCGTTGGGGCTTTGCGTGAGAGCTGCATGTGAGCGCTTGAGCTGCTCCTGGTTCTGCTTTTCTTTATTATTATTCTTAGTTTGTTTTTATTTAGTTTTCTGAGGCTTCATCTCTCTCTCAGCCCTGGCCTCTTCTTTTGCTCCTCCCACTTTACCTCCTCCGTCCTCCATTTAAGGCTCTTCTCCTCCTCCTCACAGAGCTGCACCGCTAAGCTACACGCTAAAATACACCGCTTATTTACACCGCCAAGCTACATGCTAAGTTACACACTAAACTACATGCTAAACCACACTGCTTAGATATACCGCTAAGCTACATACTAAACCACACTACACCACATTTACACCACTGAACTACATACTAAGTTACACACTAAACCACACTGCTTAGAAACACTGCTATGCTACATGCTAAGATACACCGTTAAGAGTAGATTTAGACAAACTCATTATCAACCAAAGTGACTTTGGAAATGCATCCTTCTTTCCATGACTCAAATGTGATTCAAGAATCCTGTGAAAATGTTCTTTTGTTCCAAACGTGAGTGTTTGGGAAGAGGGATGTTCTGCTAAATGAAAATGAGAGCTAGACTCAACATTTCCTTTTCCATTTCCCAAATAAACAGTCAGAAACTAGAGATGTCCCAATCCACAGACTCATCTCAGGACTGACTGATTGGACCATTCACCAAAGACATTTGTCTTTATGTTGTGATGCTAATGCTGTTGCTAACATGCATATGTCTAAAATTACATGATATGTTCAAACTGTAAAAAGTAGGCCTAATATTATGAAAACCTTGGTATCGAGACTAGGTTGTTCGATACCAAGTAGTGAGTGTGAGAGTGGTAAGAGATCGGGACATCACAGTTATAAAATGTAAGCAGCTTCACAA